TCTTCCGCAGAACCGAGAATAGTTCTTTCTAGAGTAAAAGAAGAAAAACGGAAAAAATGTAGGAGAGAAGGGAAATATGCCGGAGAGCGCTAGCGGGCCGTTGCCAATATTTCGCTTGTTATAATTATACGTGAGCGCGTTACGCGAAGCCTAGAAATACGCGTGTACTTTGCAAAAAGTAAAGAACGCGAGAGCTTGGGCGCCTCCACGACCTGCTAGAAGCACGCGCATCCGGAAGTCGAAAATACATTTCGACCCCGGGGACGCGATTAGCACGAGTGTCCCAAGGAGTCCCGCTCTCATTTGCAGCCTGAGGTTATTGGGGTGGCTAGGGGACGAGGGCTGTGCGTCCGGATGGAGTGTACCGAGGTCCGCCACACCGAGTAATCAAGGATCACGTATGCAGGCGGGCCCCCCGTAAGAGAATCGGAGATAAATTCAGGGGTTCCGAGCGAAAGGGAGGTTCTTGGCCTCCCTAATCGAAGGGGGAGGCGAGGACAGAGCGATAGCTCGCGGGTAGGGAGAAAAGAGAGCGAGGCGAATGACGGAGACGGAGCGCTCAGCGTCGGCGGCGGTGCGCAGGAACTCTCACTTTCACGCGGTGAACTACGGGTGAACGTCCGAGAATTGGGTCAGGGGGCCCCCACCTCTATCACTTCTCTTCTGCAGGCGCGCGCGCGACTGGCGCGAGGTTGTGTATGCCGTTGCACGAACGGCTCTCTCTCTCTCTCTCTCTCTCTTATTCACTTACTCATTCACACATTCTGCGTCTCGCTCGTTCGCTCGTTCTCTAGAGCAGAGAGGACCGCCGTCGCCACCACCACCGCCACCGCCACCGCCACCGCCACCGCCACCGCCACCGCCGAGCCATCAGTCCACACTCAAGCTCCGCAACAAACAGTCGCGCGTCGCACCGCATTGCTCTACACTCGCTCGAAACACTTATCTTGAAATCGAGTGATCAAAAAAATCCCCGCGAGACGTTTAAAAAACAAAAAGGCGGTAATATCGCGGGCCCCGGCCCATGTGTGATAAAGTGAGCGCTCGTGCAAAGAGAGTGTCTAAGAAGATAAAGATATAAAAGAAAGGACAGGGGGAGAGAGAGAGAGAGAGAGAGAGTGAGTGTAATTGAAATTGAGATACATTAGCAAAGAGAGGAAGGAGAGTAAAGATAGATTGCGAGAGGGGCGTTGGAGGACGGGAGGGAGAGACAGAGATAGAGAGAGAGAGAGAGAGAGAGTGAGAGAGAGAGAGAGTGGATAAGAAGGTGAGAGGTCGATCTAATAAAGGGCGCGCGATAAAACGAGTAATTCCATGGGGTGCTTGTGCGAATGCGACCTGGCCTGCAGCAGTCCCGCGCTTAGCGGCTCGGGCGGCTCGGGCAGCTCGGGCGGCTCGAGTGCTTCCTCCGATAGTGACGGTGGCAACCTTACTGACGAGGGCTTTGGTGATTCTGCTTCGCAGGGCTTCTTCAGGCGCAGCATACAGCAGAAGATCCAGTATCGGCCCTGCACGAAAAATCAACAGTGCAGCATACTGAGAATCAATAGGAATCGCTGCCAGTACTGCCGACTTAAGAAGTGCATCGCCGTCGGCATGAGTCGCGATGGTGAGTTTGTATTTTATTCTCATTAACTTTATTAAAATTATACGGGAGATTGGCCGGATCGGTTTGACCTTGCCTCTCCTTATTCAATGATAACGTTGCAAAGTCCAGAAGCGCCGTGAATGTCGAATTCCCGCGGTATTTCATAGAGCTTCCAGCCAATCTCACCGACTACTTAAATTAATGAACGGAGCTTGCATCGATGAGCCAAGCGCTTTCGAATCTTAAAAGAAATCTGAGCCCAAAAGCATTTTGGGCTAGTGTAGAGCTACATACACCCGATGAGCTCTGATATCTAAGTCAAGGCAATAAAAAAACTGTCGAATCTACCGCGAGATTGGACCGTCAGCCGTACGAATAAAGAGCACGACAACGGTGCGGAGTAGGAAAAAAAGTCAGTGAGTTACTTTTTCGGCTTACGCGATCTGTTGCGTTGCCGAGGTCATCCAACGAGTTGCTCAATATACGCTTATTAACTACCGCGAAGACTAAAGGTTATAAAAGAAATCTGGTGCTGTTTCTCCTCGCAATATTCCCTTTCTCTTTAACATCCGTAGCCGTTTATATCGTATGAGCGAGTGAGTACGCGATAAGGGACGATAGTCGCGTACCCTGATCAGGGGAGTCGAATAAACGACCGTTTTGAAAAAATTTAGGTTGTCGAGAGGGCATCGACCGTTTACGCAATGCCAACGACAGCAGCCGCGCACGCACGTACTCACGAATAAAGAGAGAGAGAGAGAGAGAGAGAGAGAGAGAGAGAGAGAGAGACCCAAAGAGGTGGGAGAGAAGCGCGCGCTGGCGAGGCCGTTTATCTCTTTCTCCGCGCTCGGCGAGAGTGTCGCAACTCATGGGCGAAAGTGGACGGTCGCACCAAGCGCCACTCTGAGAAAGTAATAACATATATTCGTTCGATCGAAGGCAGTTTTCCTTATATTTAATCTCAGCCATATGAATTTTTTTCTCATTTACCAATCGATGCCGCTTTAATTGCAAAGGAAGAAAAAATCGCGAATAGCGGGAGGACGGCGACTACCGATCGCGACAAATGACGTGGGATATTATCATTAAGAAACACAGGGGCCTTACGTTCGGCAAACCTGGTGCTTTATATAGACGGAGGGCATTATTAATCGTGCCTCAAAGGCCCGCTATCGTAATGACGTATAGAATGAGTGCGCGCAGGTATCCTCCATTACAGGCTTAAGAAATATGTTTCACGCGGTCGGATGGCGATGAACTACAAACCAATGCCGGTGATAATTCAATGTCGCGTATGAAAAGTGACTCCGGGACGATAATTGCAGCTACCTTCATCGGAAATATGCTTTATAACGCTTTTTTTTAACAAAAAACAATAGTCGACAATAAAACTAATAGAAATTGGAGGACAAGCTTGCCGTTGATAAATAAAGAGGCAAAAAAAGGAGGGGAAAATAATAGCGGAGAAGCGCGAAGAATGGAGCGGAAAAACACACGCGTCCAAGATACAAAAATAGAATCTCTACTCTAATCATCGATCCTTTCGCGTTCGCGAATCCAAAGGCGGCGGCCTCCCTATACCCTCCTCCTCGCCTCCTCACTCTCTCTCGCTTGCACGTTCGTACGCGTACGAACACGGGGTCAATAGTCGCTCGTTGTTCGCCTTGCAAGTGGTTCCGTCAGTGGAAAGAGTACCGCTACGCGCCGCTACGTCGTCGCGCACTTTCCCCTCTTCCCCGCCTTCGTAGCGTCATCGTTTCTCCGCCTTTGCCACTGCCGCCACTACCGCCACTACTACCATACCACCGCTACCATACCACCACTACCATACCACCACCACCACCACCACATCCACCTCCACCTCCACCTCCACCTCCACCTCCACCTCCACCTCCCCCTCCACCTCCCCCTCCACCTCCCCCTCCACCTCCCCCTCCACCTCCCCCTCCACCTCCACCTCCACCTCCACCGCCATCACCATCACCAGCACCATCATCACTACCACCACTGCTATCACTATCGCCGCTGCCACAACCGCCGTTTACCACCGCTCGCCTCTTTATATCCCCCCTAACTTCGCGGTCGTCGCGATGCTGCTCAGACAGTGGCGCCATCGGAATAAACGACGGAGACCTCGCGAACTCGCACTACTCGCAATCGCTCAAGACTCGCTCATCCCCTCTATCCTCCTTCACCCAACCGTCGTAAGCGCCTCTCGCGGCCGCGTGCGCGCGCACGACTCGCGATGTTCCACCTCTCTTGGTTACTACCGACACCGCCACCACCACTACCACCACCATCACCATCTTCCAACCCCCTCTCCCTTTCTCTCTAGTGGTCAACAGGAACCGCGAGTTCGCGTTAACGATTCATTCGTCCTCTGGCGAACGATTGATGCGGATTCTTCATAAGAAGACAGCGTCGTCCCACTACACGAGCGCGTTAATGTATGACTTCGCATTTTTTTCACCCCCAATGGCCCGCACGTAAATTACCTTGGGAAAATTGCTCATTAGCTCCTCATTAACTCAAATTCGTGCTATATACTTGTATGACGATATTACATAACGAGCAATGCGAACAGTCATAATAAGACCAATCGGTAAAATGTCGGCTGGTCTTCTCCATTCCCAGGATTCGGAAAAATAAGCTCTGTCCCGTAATAGAGAGTACGTCTTACGAGTCTTGACACCGTGGAGAAAACGGCGATGTCCGCTCTCGATTATATAGGTCGTAACGAGCGAGAGCGCGTAGCTTCGTATATCCGCGCTACGACGGCTATCGTTGAAACCAAGTTCAAGGCCAAAGACTCGGCGGCGCAAAGGCCACAATCTTTTCCCAGCGAACGCGTGCGGCGTCGCTACTCGCGATTGCGCGCACCCAAGAAAGAGAGCACGATTAATGTGATGAAGGTGGACGACAACGAAAACGACAACGAAAACGACAACGACAACGACAACGCCAACGACAACGACAACGACAACGACAACAACGACAACGACTACGACAACGACGACGACGACGACGACGACGACATCGACGATGGAGGGGCAGGAAACGGTAGTGGATAAGAAGGAGGTGGTGGCGATGATGGTGGCGGAGGAGGAGGAGGAGGTGGCGGAGGAGTAGGAGGAGGCGGCGGCACGCGGCCGCCAGTAGTGGGGGCCGAAGTAGGCACGGCGCTGATGCTGGTGGCGGTGGCAGCGACGGCGGCGACGATTGCTGCCGCCGCCGCCGCCGCCACTGGTGGGGGGCGGCTGTTGAACGCGACTCGCGGAACGTCACTCAGTCGGCGGTGATGCTGTCTCGTGTGTGGACGCGTCTTACCTGTGTATCGCGAGTGTCGAAGATATGAATCGTGATTGAGAGGCGCGAGTAACAACGTGGCTAACCGGCGTACTACATTATAGTAGTAGTCGCGCAGCTTTACCGCGGTGACGAAATTTAATAAGGACAGAGAAGTGGCCGAAATAAGGCCGTGTTTCCTCGATATAGCTGGTTCAGCAAGTGTTTCAACATTTCTCCGAAATTCGAAAAGCAGCTCCTACCCATCGTCATGGGAGACGAGCTGCCGATCCTCAAGGGGATCCTCAATGGGGACGTCAATTACCACAACGCACGTAGGTGTCGGAGGTTCAAGGACCCTTTTAGCGACTTTTCGATATAACGGAAACGGCGGGTCGTCTCGCCTGCCTATTCGCCTCGCGCTCTTCGCGTCGCCTGCGGTCTCGCGAAAAAGAAAGTGACCACTGCCAACGATCGCCCTGTCTCACTCTTACTTTCTCTATTATTCACTGTTTGCGTCGTCTTTCCCGGCGTCGAATCTTACCTTCGAATAATCCCGTTCTGGCAACTAACCGTCCTTGTCTATTCCTCCCCAGGAGCCCACTACTACCACTCTCATCGGCATTGTCGTGCCTCTCGCGTAACGCGACGTTTTTATGCCGTCACCACGTGATTGAGGGTTGAGCTTCCCCGTACGCTTCCCTACCATGTCCTTTCGATATCCTTAATCCCATTGGCAATGACGGCGCGCTCGGTCGTAGAATGTTCATTCGAGAGTTTGATCGAAAGGGAGAACGATGGTAAATAATAACTAAAAAACTTGTCTCTTGTTTATGTGTTACAGCCGTGCGATTCGGGCGCGTGCCCAAGCGCGAGAAGGCCAGGATTCTGGCTGCCATGCAGCAGAGCTCCCATAGCCGCTCGCAGGAGAAGGCGGTGGCCGCGGAGCTCGAGGACGAGCAGCGACTGTTGGCCACCGTTGTCCGCGCCCACTTGGATACGTGCGATTTCACCCGTGACAAAGTCGCCCCGGTTCTCGCGAGAGCCCGCGAGACGCCCAACTACACAGCCTGTCCACCGACACTGGTGAGTACAAAATTCATTGCTGCATGGCTTTATTGTTTACCGATGATCGGTATCTTGCGTCGGCTCGCGAGAGAGCACCGCCGAAGGAAGCCTCGTAACCGAGTTATGAAGAAAGCGAGAGCGCATAAGCAAGAGGAAAATGAGGGGGATGGCTTGGGGCAATATGAAAATGTTGCTGACCACATATCCAATTGGGTCTGCCCCAAATCATTCCCCTTCTTTTTTCTCAATCGCTATTCTGCATTTTCTTTCATCCAAACGATAACATAATGATGGATCGATTATCGAGTGATGAGATATGACGGGGAAGGGAGAGGGGGCTTCCTCGGTAGTATCCACGCGCCTCAACGCCGGTAACACGTGGCATAATCGTCGGCATTGCTTCGCTCGATGTTACAGGCGTGCCCGCTGAATCCGAACCCGCAGCCGTTGACCGGACAGCAGGAGCTCTTGCAGGATTTCTCAAAGAGGTTCTCGCCGGCGATCCGCGGCGTGGTCGAGTTTGCCAAGCGCATACCCGGCTTCAGCCTACTGGCCCAGGAGGACCAGGTGACCCTCCTCAAGGCCGGTGTCTTCGAAGTCCTTCTCGTGCGGCTAGCTTGCATGTTCGATGCCCAGACGAACAGCATGATTTGCTTGAATGGTCAGGTGTTGAAACGCGAGTCAATTCACAATAGTAGCAACGCTCGCTTCCTCATGGACTCGATGTTCGACTTTGCCGAGCGTGTGAACTCCCTCAGACTCTCGGACGCCGAGCTTGGCCTCTTCTGCTCGGTGGTGGTAATAGCGGCTGACCGACCGGGGCTGCGAAACACCGAGCTCGTCGAAAGGATGCACAACAAATTACGCAACGCACTGCAAACCGTGCTAGCCCAGAATCACCCGCAGCACCCAGACATTTTGCGCGAGCTGCTCAAAAAGATCCCCGATCTGAGGACTCTCAACACTCTACACTCTGAGAAATTGCTCGCTTTCAAGATGACGGAGCAGCAGCAGCAACTGCAAGCTCAACAAGCACAACAAGCCCAGCAGCAGCAACAACAACAACAACAACAACAACAACAACAACAACAACAATCCCATCCGCAGCAACAGCAGCATTGGCCTATGGAGGAAGAACATGCAGCCTCCTGGAGCTCGACCTCGGACATAACGCTTGACGAAGCCGTGAAGAGCCCACTCGGCAGTGTATCTAGCACCGAGAGCACCTGCAGCGGTGAAGTTGCCGCTCTCACCGAGTACCAGCAAACGGAGTACAAGCATGTAGTGCCGACCTCAGGACATCATGCCTCGAGCGCTCCCCTCCTCGCGGCGACACTCGCCGGCGGTCTTTGTCCCCATCGTCGAAGAGCCAACTCCGGCAGCACGAGCTCCGGTGAGGACGAGCTTCATCGAGCTAGCCTCGCTAAAACACCCCAGCCACCTCAGTGTCCGCGCTTCCGTAAGCTCGACTCTCCGAGCGACAGCGGTATCGAGTCGGGTACCGAGAAACCCGACAAGCCGGCCAGCAGTAGCACCAGTAGCGCCCCCACGAGCGTCTGCTCCAGTCCGCGCTCCGAGGATAAGGAGGTCGAAGACATGCCCGTGCTGAAGCGAGTACTCCAAGCGCCACCCCTCTACGACACCAATTCACTTATGGATGAAGCTTACAAGCCACACAAAAAATTCCGCGCCCTCAGACAGAAGGATAGCGCGGAGGCGGAACCAGCTGTAAGCGCTAACCTCGGTCATCAGCAGCAGCAGCAGCAGCAACAGCAACAGCAACAGCAACAACCACAAGCTCATCAGCAGCACCAGCACCATAACCAGTCACCGCATCAACAGCAGCAACATCACCATCATCATCTTGGTCATCAGCAGCAACATCAACAGCATCAGCATCAGCAATCGCAGCACCATAATCAACAACAGCAACAGCAACAACACCAGCACCAGCAACAACAGCAACACCACGCGCAGTCTCAGCTTCATCTGCACCTGACCGCACCGACTGCGAGGAGCCCCTGCTCTGCGCAGCCACAACTTCTCCAATCGGCTCTGAAAACCGAATGCCCCCAGACTGCTAGCCTCCTCAGTAGCACGCATTCGACCTTGGCCAAGAGCCTCATGGAGAGCCCAAGGATGACGGCCGAACAACTCAAGCGCACTGACATCATCCATAATTACATAATGCGAGGTGAGGCGAGTTCGTCGCCCAGGTCATCGCCCGTAGCGCCGGCTTGCTCACCATCACCTGCTGAGCAATGCGCCTCGACGACGACCCTCACTGCTCGTTCGTCGCCCGTCCACCAGCAAGGATCTCAATTAGGATTACTCCAATGCGCGGTGCAATCAAGCTACGCACAGCAGAGGTGGCCGGCTGCTACGTCCGTTATTACGACAACGACGGGTGCAAGGCAGCAGCATCAGCAACAACAGCAACAACAACAACAACAGCAGCAGCAGCAGCAGCAGCAGCAGCAGCAACAGTCTTCCTCGGACTACCTGTTAGCTGGAAATTCGTCGCCTGCCTCGTCACCGAGGTACCTATCGGTCGCAGCGACGAGCAGCACGAGCACGAGCCCTCGGCCTACCTCCAGCGGGACGACTCTCGTCATCTCTGGATGCCCGAGCAACCTCGTCGAACTGCAGGTGGACATAGCCGATAGCCAACAGCCGCTCAATCTCTCCAAGAAGTCACCATCCCCCTCACCAAGGCCATTAATGCAGGGCTCGGCGTGCAAGGCCCTTTCACTCGAGGCGTAGTGCGAGAGGCGGCAGTGCCTGAGCCAGCAATGCCAGAGTTGTCGACCAAGATCGAATCAACCCACCTGATCGAGCACCTCGGCATGGTGGACAATCGGTCTCCTTCCCCCTATGCCCCAGCGCAACGGCAATAGCCTCTCGCCCTCTCCCCTCCAACCCTCGCCAACCCGTTCTAGAGTCTAAATTCCAGAATGTGCTCTGTGACTAAACGGCGGCGTTTGATTGGCGCCGGAAGAGGAATGTGAGGGGAGGACGTCAGGGACGGTAAGGATGTGTTATAATGATCGCGAAGAATAAAGTGCCAGGACGCTCAGAGCGCGTTATACAAACCAAATAATTTATTATTTAAACGTACGCGGACGATAACGACGTGGAAGTCTTTTGAAAGAGAGCGAGAGAGAGAGAGAGGAAGAGCGAGAGATAGTCTGTGTATGTATATGTGTGTGTGTGTGTGTGTGTGTGTGTGTGTGTGTGTATGTGTGTGTGAGAGAGAGAGAGAGAGAGAAAGAAAGTTGGAGTGTGAGAGAACGAGGGTGGTGAGCGATAGCAGAAGCAGAAAGTCTTCGTGGGAAGTTGACGGGGCTGAGATGATGATTCAAATGTACAGGACTGAACGAGAATTGATAACTAAGGCTCTCGAGTCAGGGCCCATCATAAAAACGCAGTGATTGTTTCAAAAGACATTCGTTTATTGTTGGCTGAGAGGTGTAAAAGGATCTCTTAGAGGAGGATACAGTGCAAATATATTAGAATATATATTTATGTCGGACGCCTGTGGTGTTTCAAGTGCCGACGTGATACGATGAGATACAAATTATAAGGACACGATAAGCTTCTAAATAAATAAAGTGCCGTGCTTAGGATCCTAGCGATCTTTGTTCTCTCTGATTCCACCTGTAAGCCCATCCACATCAATCCACCCACCACACCTATCTAATGTCGTGTGAAGGAAAATGATAAATGATTTTGATGATGATGATAATGCTTATGATAATGATTATGATGATGATGACGATGATGAGATGATTATAATTACGATGATAAAAAACATTAAGAATAAGTTGATGATGGAAAAGAAGAAAATGAAAATTCAGAAAGCCAGCTTATCCAGCATCCTCTGTATCGAAAGAAGGAGAGAATAATGAATTTAAGCGTTACAGAAAATAAGGTTAATAATCTATTACATGTGATAATCATGGAAATCGCGCATCCTGTACAGTCTCCACCTCATTCATCGATCATCTACTCTACTATAATTATTGAATTTTATGCAAGTAATTAATATTATTGTAATATCTCCTAAGGCATAGTGTTACTGGTAAATAATTAAAACTTTATTTGTTAAATGCTGAGTTTTCTTTATTTGACAATATTAGACTGAGTTTTCTTTATTTGATAATATAATGATTATTTTTGAGAGAAGCGAAAGAAAAAAAGAAGAAGTGAAGTCGACCCTGTACTACACTAGTATTTATTAGGTTTACCACCCCACCCTATCCCCCGTCGTTTTCCATCGACAAAAATTTCTCTTAATACTCTTTACTTGTAAATAATCATGACTCTCGCTAGGACACTTAGTCGCTCGGCCCGTAGGATGCCTCAACGAAATCGAGTTACAATCCGTAACTCAACATTTTTCTTTAACATTGGATAGGTAGGTCGCACGTTACGCACGCGATGCGGTGACCAACCGCTTATCCAAAAAACTCACTGCGACTCCCAACATAATTGCCTGTACAGACATATTTCAAAATTTTGTCATTTTTCTCGCGGATTATCATACTCTATATAGCTTACTTGTGTAATTTCGTATTATTGCGTTTATTTGAGATTTTCGGCATCCTGCAACATCGAGCTTAAGGTCATCAGGCTTAAGGTCATCGGGCCCCGATCCCATGCGCCTAACTAAATTTGGCCGTTAACGAGAGTCAAGACGTAATTTAATTTTTTTTTTCTTTATTTCATTATGCACGTAATATTTAAATCGTCTCTTTTACTTCACTCTCTCTCTTTGTTTCTTTCTCTGTACAAAGACCTTACAATTACACACTTAAAACTAAAAATTTTACGCACTTACAAAAACAATTTACAACTATCGTTTTTATCTTAAATCTCGATTTATATTAGATGAAAAGAGAAAGAAAGACGCGTAAAAGGTTTACTTGTAAATAGTAGTCTCGATAAGACTAGATTTTAAAACAAAAGAAAATACAAACTGTTGGCGCACGACTTGCGAGGCGACAACCAATGACTATCCTGTCAAACTCCTGTCAAACCTCACACCAACACCTGCTCCTTTATCATTTTGCTATTTACCTATTTCAAGTACCGAATCATATGTGCAGATAAAAAATTAATCTTTTTCTTAGTGGATGCTCTTCTTTCTTTCTGCGTTCTTCCTAAAGTCCTATCCCCAAAAGTATGCACTCTCTCACACACACACATACACACACACACACACACAGAGACACAGACACACACCTACAAGATCACGATACTAAAAAATAAAATCTCTTACATGAAAAAAGTAATAAAAAAAACTAAATTCCTTTGTCCCATCCAAATCCTAGAGTACCATTACCGTCGATCGTTAATGTAATATTTGCTCCTTGATGTATTTATTGTACTTGGAGTCATTCCTTTGTATATCCCTCGAATTTAACGGTTTGAATTAAAAAAAAAAAAAAAAAAAAAAAAAAAAAAAAAAAATAAATAAATAAATAAAATTGTAAACGAGCGAGAGTGAATTAAAAATTTAAACGAGTATGAGAAAAGCATAGACCTGCGCATTATAGAAGTGTCGTCGCCTCTGTACCTTCGAAAGACGAAAGTCCTGTGTTCCTTATAATCTGATAATATAAACCGCCCAAATGCTCTTTGATTCCCTTCTTCACCAACCTCCATTATAATCACATTGTTTATTCCCATTCCCTCTGCAGTATATTCATGCCTGTGCAGGAATCTAGCGTTGATAAATCGTCGTATACTGTTATGCATAAACTACACATAATAATTATTATAGTAAACGATACATAAAGTATGATATATTTCTCTATCCATTAAGGAGGATGACTACAAAATACAAATGAAAGAAGAAAATGAATGCGTGCGAGCGTAAACATACACAACACACACATATACACAAAAACTGGAAAAATAAACGACAGAAAATGTTAAAAAATATACACAAATATGTGATGAGAAAATAAACACCAACACGTATGTATGTATGTATGCGTGCGTGCGTGCGTGTGTGTGTGTGTATATATATATATATATACACACATTGTAAACAATTTTGAAAACACGTACAATTGTTTTCTTGGCGAAGAATGAAAGGCAAAAAAGTAAATGAAACTGAGGTATACTTCACGCAATTATACAAAGCAGCCCCGCATATTGCCCAGTGAGCACGTCATTTTGTACGCTTGGGAGTTGTGAGGTCGTCTGAATAAACATTGTCTGGTGAATTATAAATTTATCTTCTACTTATTCAACAGCATCCTTCACCTTACATCGCCGTTTCCTTGATCCATCCCAATTCAGCAATAACTTTCATTACTTAAATTCGTAAAATATTTAATTTTTTTTCTGCATTTCAATTAAATGACTATTAGATAGATATAATGAAAATTCAATTAAACGCAATGATGGCTCGAGCGATTGCTTTTACGACTGAAATAATGCAGATGCATTGACTCGTCTACTTATTACATTAATTATATTAATTATAAAATTATACAAAATTTTATATTTACAATTGAGCTATCGATAAATATTAATAAAATATATGGCAGCATAGCAATTTGAAATTAGATCGTCGTTAGTGACTCGCAACCGAAACTGAAACAACTGGCAACAACTTGTACTTTTAAAATGTATAATAAAAATTCAAATACCTTCTTAACTGTAGCTATTTATGAATATAGAGACATCAGAAGCCTCTGATACTGCAAATTGAAGTAAAGAAGAAGAAGAAAAAAAGAGTAAACGGTCTTTGATTTGATTCATTCAGTGACAAAGAGAAGACAATGGCATTTAAAGGAATCTTTAGGGTGAATTATTTTATTAAATACGAATGTCGTTTGAATGTGAAAATTTAAAACATAATGTCGTTAAAGCCAATATTTTATCTTGCTCAAAATTTTTGTTATCCAAGCTATCGGTAGTAAATGATTAAGCTTTTTAAAAATTACAATATATTTTTTCTTTCGACATTAATAATGTCACAATATAAACTAACAAGCAGTAGTAGTAACCCTTGAATATAATAACGGACACGTTATCGCATACTTTTTGCATCATATTTCCCGGATTTCGTTATCTAGTCCTTGGATTAGCTGAGCTTTAAAATCGACCTTGAACCGGCTGAGCGGGACTTGCTACGATAATTGGAAAAGCTTTATTACCTTTGATAATTTAAGAAAAGCAATAATTCCACGCCACTTATTTTAGTTTTTTTTTCTTTCGTTCTTTTTCTTGTAGCTTTGCGAAGAATAACATTTACGTACATTAAGATATAAAGCATGCCACGATGAATTATTATAATCGGCGAAAATACCTTTTTAAAATCATAATAAGCTTTACAGCATAAATGCAAAGTAAATCGGTAATATTATATATATATATATATATATATATATATATATTCATAATGCGTGCATACAAAAACTAATTTATTGTAAGTGACGATGTGAGCCCCTTGATTTGAAAGAATTTTAGCTTCCCAATAAATTAGCAAACTGCTCGATTAAATAAATGAGATAAAGTTATTTTGTTTGCTTTTCAATTCCATTGTCACCTTTGATTTACGTAATTGCAAAAATCAAACATTACCGCCTCGCACGCAGTAAAGACGACCGACCGGATTTTATACTTTCCAATATTACGCAGAACTCATCGAAACAGTTGTATTATTATAAATTAATATCGTACGTCATCTTTGTCGTTCACACAATTTCTTTATTTAAAGACAGTCATTCCTAACTGCAAACTCTAAATCGCATTATGAAACGGTGCTTGGGGGCTGTGGAGGGGGGTCAGATGCGAATAGTTCGGGCAGAACGCGAACGTTTGCTTTACCTACGGATCACCGACACGACTGTGCGATCAACGACACGACTGTGCCAACGTATGGTTATACGATGCGTGGG